AGTACCAACTTGAATTCTCCATGTCTTACTGTCTTAGCCAGTGTTTTATTGCTGTGAGGAGACACCCATCACAACCATGGCAACTCTTATTTTTATAAAAGCACTTATTTAGGGCTTGTTTACAGTTTCAGACATTTACTCCATTCTCATCGTATCAGGGAGTGTGGTGGCACCCAGGCAGACATGATGATGGAGAAATAATTGAGTGTTCTACAACTGCATCAGCAGGCAGAAGGAGGAAGGAGTCACTGGGTCTGTCTTGGGCTCTTGAAACCTCAAAGCCCACCCACACTGATGTGTTTTCTCCTAGAGACCACACCTCCTAATCCCTTTAAATAGTGTCTATTGCGGTAAATAAGGATCAGGATAAACAAATAGGCCGAATAGATGTTTATTCAGGGAGAAATAACTTACAACCTAGACAGATGAACACCAGGAAATTCAACCCAATCCTCTCCTGTCCGAGTCACGCCAGAAAAGAGAGCGCCTTCCTGGCCCCCTCTGACCTCCTTCCTCAGGTCACCTCCGCCCATCGCTCCACCCCCCAATGGGCGTGGTCAGTGCTACAGAAGGACTATTTCACTACAAGTGTCACTGCCTGGTAACCAAGTATTCAGATCTATGAGCCTATTCCCATTCAAACCACCACACTTTTAAATACATTTGTGTGTGTGTGTGTGTGTGTGTGTGTGTGTGTGTGTGTGTGTGTGTGTGTGTGTGTGTGTGTTCAGTAATAATGTCTTTCCTTTGAGTTCTGGTGGACACCAAGGGCAGTGATAAGAGTCCCTATGGATATGTGTATGAACACCATGAGAAACAACTCCAGGCATGGTCAGCACAGCTGGTATTGGGCCTTCAATTGGCCAACATATGGTTTGTAGAGAAACGATATATAATATTTAAAAATAGAAAACAGATGGCATTGTTTTGTTAGAGGAGAGATATAGTGTACCTCCTGGTCAGAAGCTGGAATTCTAAGCCAGACTATTCAGCAGCTAAGTGGCAGGTACAAGATACTTAAACTATTAGCGTTACTCAAAAATTCATCATTTTATACTGATTTTTCTGCGAGCACTTATCTCAGATTCTTACACATGGTTTGCTTGATCTCTTGACCTATGGAATTTTAGTTTCTCTGATCTCCTTTTCGTTTCTTAGCCATGGGCCATTTAAGACTTTGCAAATTATAATATCTAAGGATCAAATGACTTCCTTCTGGACCATAATCGCATCAACCTGTATTTAATTCCACGGAGCTCTCTGTCCTTTCTTTTCTTTCTTTCTTTCTTTTTTTCCTCTTCTCTGCTAAATGAATTTCTTTCATGATTCAACACAACCTTGTCTCCCAGCTCTACAGCATCATGCTTGTCTTTCCTTCATCTACATTTCAAACCTTTAATTTCGATCAGTTCGATCACTCATTTCTCCCCATTCTGGCTTTGTACATTGGTCTGATTTGGAAAGGAAAATCCTTAAATTTTCATGTCAGCTAAGAACAAAATTCTGACTTATCCTTTATTGGGTGCTTTCCTCGGATCAGGTGATAAAAGATTAACATCTGTTCTCTAGATCAATAAGATAGATGATACTGCTCCTTGTTTCTTAGATGAGAACTCAGTGCCTAGAATCTGGCAGGCACTTGACAAAGGTCAGAACCATGGTAAGCAGCACTGGTTTATTAGAAATGCAATCTTTTTTTTTTCTTTCTCCAAAGCAGTTCATAATCATTGTGCCACATGTGTCTCCTAAAGGGCTTCTGATGCATTACTAAGCTTTCTGCCCTGTGTACCTTCCTGGCTCCCTAAAGACTCTGGTTTTATTATTCCTTTGCATTGGTTTAGAAGTTGCACAATCTCTGTGTCATTAACTCTGGAAAAACTAAAATGTGCGTAGGTGAATAAGCTTTCTATTCTCAGACACAGTGGCTGTTTTAGAGCTCAGAAATTTAAAATGCCTCTCTACATGTTTATCTGTTAATCAGATATCCATATTTTGATAGCAATATCCACATTAATCTCTGTCTCTAGGCTCTGGCATTTGTAGATGAGTAATCTAGGATAGACTTTCTTTTTACACTTGGTCTTTAAGCCTGGTTACTGATATAACTTCTAAATTCCTCCCAAAGGCTGGGATTATAGTAATGCACCAATACACCTCTACTAGAAATATATGTTCTTTAATATCACCATTTGTATATTAACTGCCATTCTATTATCTTGTCTTTCTTTCTGTTGCTGTTTGTTGGTGCCTTTTCCTCACTGCGTATTTGTGCTAATTTCATATTGCTTACATGGGGAGACCATAGAATGAAGTAATATATTTCATTTTGTGTTTTATTTTATTGTTTGATGTGATTTTTTTTTTATTTTAAAACAACCTCTCATTTTACAGACCAGTCCCAGTTGCCATTACCTCCTGCCCTCCCTTTCTCCCCACCTCACCACGTCCACTCCTCAGAGAGGATAAGGCTTCCCATGGGGAGTCATCGAAGAACTATAAAAAACATCCTGAATGAGGTAACCCAGACCCAGAAAGACAAACCCGGTATGTACTCACTCATAACTGGACAATAGACATAAAGCAAAGGATAACCAGCCTATAGTCCATGATAAGTGAAATAGACAAGATCTCCTGAGAAAATTGGGAGCATAGTTGGGGGGGTTATTTTGTGTTTTAAATTACAAATAAATATTTGACTTTTAGTTTCAAAATGGTTTAACTTGGTTTACTAGATAATACTCTAATTTTTTCAAATGATGGTCAAGTGTTGACATTGGAAATGTCAATACATCATCTTGAAACTTGGACATATATTCAGACATTACAGGCAGCAAGATTACTAGATCCTCCATGGCTTCTTTATTCAGTGTGCCTTTGAGCATCTGTGTCTAGCCAATCACACTCCGTAACCACTTCAATGCAGAGTTATTCCAAAGTCATTGCATACATTAACAAAATCTAGACAATGTCAATACCAATCTGCTTGCTATCCACATCTCTTCTTAGATTGAACTGCATTTATAGGATAAAAGCAATTTCAAGATGCCTAAAAGTAAATGATCTCTGAATATGTCTGTCTGGGTAAGTGTGTTGTTGTGAACCTTATTGTTTGAGACAAAAATGTTAACATCCTCCTTCCTCTAAGTCCCCATCAGCAACTCCTATGAATTTTTCAGGCAGATGCCAGATGTCCTCAAATCTGTAAGATCCTGTATTTAACAAGACTACCAGTATCCTATATTTGAAACCATAATATATATGTATGTATGTATGTATGTATGCATGCATGCATGTATGTATGTGTGTATACATATATAATGTGTGTGTCAATCCCAGTTCCCTCTCCCTCTCTCCCATCCCATCCCTTCCAGGAGGGCTCATCAAAATCTGTCAAGTCATTTGGAGTAGGGACTAGGCCCTCCCTCCTGTCTCTAGGTTAAGGAAGTATCCCTCCATGGGGAATGTGCTCCCAAAGTCCTTTCGTGCACCAGGGATACATCCTGGTTTCACTGTCAGAGGTCCCTTAGACTGCCCAGGCCTTCTAACTAAGACCCACATTCAGGGGGTCTGAGTCAGTACAATACTGGTTTCCCAGCTATCAGTCAGGGGGGTCAATGAGTTGTTTATTTTAATTCTACCAATGTACAGGAATGAAATCCTAGCTGATTTCTTCAAATGCAATCTTGAGTTCCCTCAAATGTCATACAACAGTGCTGATAAATCATACAGAATTTAGCATACAACAGGAACTTGTCTAGACTCCCTTGATCCTAGCTATAAGGACCTTTCTTGTCACTATTTGACAGGTGAAGAGAAACTGGAGAATAGAGAATTAGAAAATTCGAGAATTAGAAAATTCTGCCCAAGAGAAATAATAAGGTTAGGATGTGAACTTGGAGATTTTAGCTTTATGCTTGATAGTATTTACTACTAAATGTTGCTACCCCTGATGAATATAATCCTTTTCATATTAAAAGTCTTCTGTAATTCCCAAATTCTTCCAAGGATTACGCAGTCTTAAATTATGCCTGGAATATTCTTTCCACTCATCTCTGTTATTAAGTACTTTTCATTTTTTATGTGTTTCCTTAGTCATCATTTCTTTAGGAAATACTTCATCAAATTAGTATTACAAATCAATTTTAAGAATGCAAACATTTGTTACAATAAAATTCTTCATGGTTTTGTGATATTACACTACTCTGTGTGCCATGCACTATATAAACTGAACAAACTTTGATCTTGCCTGTGTAATGTAGGCTGGTGCATGGATGCCTATACAAACACACAGACATGAACACACATACACACACTCCGGAAGCAGAGGCAGGTGGCACTCTGTGAGTTTGAGCCAATCCTGGTCTTCAGAGAGAGTTTCAGGACAGCCAGACAGCCAGAGATACATAGACAAGACTTAGAATAAAATCTTTATTGAGAGAATAATATGATAGAATATATGTGTTTTTGTTCATGTTAGCAAAATAGTTGAGACTATAATACTTTCTTATTATAACATGTTCTGAAATAAAAGTTGTGAATAGTGTCCTTGAAACAAATATCACACTTCCATTTTGTTAGAAAACATTCAATATTTTTATTTAGAAAATCCAAAAAATCATGAGTAAAATAAAAGCTGAATAATTTGCAATTTGAGTACATTTCTAGTGTTAAAACAGTGTGCTTCTATGAGACTGTTGTTATTATAACTGTAGGATTTAGGTCTTCAGTTGTTGGAGGATGGTGTATTAGAATATATATATCCACAAATGTCTCTTGCTTCATCTGTAATCCTAAGTGACTACAAGACTACAAGATCTCTCTCTCTCTCTAGCTTTATTGTTTAGTTCTAATGACTACATCTCTCTCTTTAGGAGGCATTTGACTAGTAGGTACATGAAAATTATGAAAGAAATATTTAATTTATTCATTTTCTTTACTGCTATCTCATTGTTGTGCTCAGAAGACATATACAGTACCAGCACACATAAATTGGGTCATAGACAAGTAAATCATTTTGAATATATAATAATTAAAAAATTGCTTGATATTAGTAGCTTCAAAGAGACAAAAATAGCTTTGAGTTGAGAAGTTACTTCAACTCAGTGTCTGTTTAGTTAATCAGAGAAAAGCAAATTATAACAAGTGGCACCTGTTTGCCACTGACCAAAGCACCTTCGAATGGAAAAACAAATAAGCTGCACAGATGAAAATTGTGGTTAAGAACTATTGTAAATATGGCTTGTGACCTAGGAGAAACAATTGAATTCCATACCACAACTACTCTTAATCCACTTTGGATTTGGTGGAGCTGTTTATATAATGAAAGCCTGTAAAAGCTTGAAGCATGTCACTATATCTATTGGGATTGGTGGCTTGATTTCATTTCCATCCAGACGCAGGTAGCTCAGTTGAGGTCCATGAATGAAGGCATCCTGTTCTGCACGTAGTGTGGTAGGACATATTACTGAGATGTTCACGTCTATGGATGGAAAGATGGCATGAATGATTAGATTGAAACACCAGAAAGTTTAGTGGTCTAAATGAAAAAACATGCTGAATTGGCCCTAAAGGGCCAAATGACTTCATGCAATGAAACCACTGTCAAACAAGTTATTGTGCATATCTCTTTCATAAGAATAATCCTGGGGAAAAAGTTTGATGTAATAGGTCCAGTATTCTCACTCTCTGCCCTGCTGTATGTTAGTATGAGATATTACATAGTTAATACTACTTAAAACCATAATACATCCTAGAGAAATAAGATATCTCAGTTATTTTCTAAGCTTACAGGTGAGACGAAGCATGTCAAAATCACCTTACTATGCAAAAATGAGTAACATTTCTGGAGGACTAAAGGCAGAGACTGCAGTTAAATCTGGTACAAAGGGGGGAGGGAAGAATTCTTGCAAGGGTAATATGATGTAAAATTACCTTAAATTTTCAAAATAATATATGGTATGTTTAAATAAATGTATTTATCATAATTCTATATACAATACTTAAAATCCATGAATCCTTCCACATAAATACACTAAGTTTGAGAGAAGACATTTGCCAAGAGTTGGATTACAGAGGATTGAAACCAAGAAATATCCCATAAACCCTTATACCTGGTACTGTGGGAGAACAAATACCTGCCTTGGACTACAGCTCATGGCACCAACAGTCACGCTGAGAGACTTCTCCAGAGTGACAAGCTGTTATGTGCCCAAACTTTAGAACAGCTTGGAACAGGTGATCTCAAGCATCAATCCATGTAATCTGCTTTTGCCAAAAAGGAGCAAGAGCTCTTTGTCCTATGTCCTATGTGCTATTGGTGCAAACAAATTCACAATATAACTTTAAATGATTTTATACTTGGATAATGGCTGTTTTGTCCAAACCTTATGTTACCTTATGAATTAATTTGATATAAACAATGGCTCACATATATAAACCAGCTTTGTGGTTATAGCTTTTTTTCACATACATAATCACTTTATCCTCACACAGACTTTACCAGGAAATATGACTACTCTTTCCACCTGGGTATTGTATAAAACGTTTGCCCAGACTAGCCATTTTCTCTTACTTGGAATCTTTGCCCACCAGGGATTCTGTGTTTCATTCAGTGCCTCATTTAATATCCTTATCACTCTCATAACTCATATTAGTTATATCCAAATAACTGGAATATGAGAAAGGCATTATAAATTTAATAATTTTCTATATGTTAGGATTTTTCTTGAAGAATGTGGAGAAGTATATCAGAGTATATGCATATTTTACATTAAATTTCAAGCTCCTCGTTATGCTCTGAAGACATACATGTCACAAAAGAAAACTTTATTGGCAAGTTCAATGGACTCTTCATATAAAAGTTCTCTTTCTTGCAAACAATTTTTAACAGCTAGAGTATGTGGCAAGAACTAAGGACATTAACAAGTATTGCAACAATGTCATTGATAAAGTCTCATCCATGATTCCCACAAATGGTATCCTTATTCTATATCAGTGTGTTAAATGAGAGGCCATGGCTTCATTTTGTTCAAGCTGAGATGATAGACTTATCTCATTCACTTCTGCTTCAGTTTCCTTTTGAACTTCCCAACAATATCACACAAGCCTCTTGGTAGGTTTCAAGTTTCTCCAACCACGAGCAATTGTTAGACTCCACATCAGGGTCTTCAGTCATAAAAATCTGGAGAGGGGGAATCCCTACAATCTTTCACAAACTCAGTGGAGTCTGACACATGCTAATATATAAGACTGAAGTATTGGAATGAATTTCACAGCCTTTGGAAACCCTTTGTGAAATTTCAGTAGAGAACACAATGATTTACTTCTCAAACTTGTTTTCAATGCTGGCCCCTCACTCCTGAAGACATGATCTCAAGTTCCCAGCATCTGCAACTCACATACAAAAATCTGTGTAGAAACCTGAAATCAACTCCCTACTACAGTTATCTGTGAGGTTTTATTGTAGATAAGCAATACACCTGTAGGAGGATAGGCCTTTCATCAGGAAAAGCTTACAATCCCAGGGTCCTCCTTAGGCATTACAATGTTTGACTCAACCATAAAAAATATCATCTAACAATTTTTCTATGTTGTATGTTTTCCTTCTGACTGGAATATTAAACAATACATTCCTTAGTCTCAAGGTGGGAAAGTAACTGGTATGGTAGCAGCTTGCCATTTAATTCCAGAATTTTATCCTCAAGTGCATGGCAACAACAATGAAAAGAAAAATATGCAATACCCAAGCAGTGCTCAGTCAAAAGGTGCTCTGATCATGTAATGGAATGAATATGTGATCATATGCTTAACAAATCTTTTGTGAATGGTAACTAGGAAGCATAAAACGGTAGTATTTACCTGGCTTTCTTTTCTATAAAACATTTTCATCGACTCTCTCTTCAAGACTTTATAGAAGGAATCTCCTATTAGTTATCCTCCCAAAAAGACTTTTTACTGGAATTGAGGAGGAATCTTAGGCTGTGTACCAGTACCCAGGTATGGGATATGAAATTGCCCACTTTCACTACCAGAGACAGGATGACATAACTATGGACAGGTTGAAATCATCTCAAATGTTTTCAAGCATGTGTGTTTTGTAACCACTTCATCCCTTAATAACATCTTTGCTTTGAAAGACTTCAACCTGATCCATTCCCCACTCCATATCCAAAGATGTTTATTGTATTTTCCTCACAATGGATATTAAAGCTAAATCAACAAAATTGTATAGTGAGGAGTGGAAATAATGTGTTAACTCCAATGCCCCATTAATTGTGTATTGGTGGGGGTAACAACATGATTGCTATTCTTACAAGGGACAGAGACGGACATCATGATCGATATTTTGGTTACAGGTATACCCTCATGGCTACTTACTTTTAATTTTGTTGTGATCAAGGTGTAGGTGCTGCAGATTGGCATTAATTCGGGGAAAGCTTGTGAGCTGATTGTGAGACAGTTGAAGGTCTAGAATGGACGAGACATCGAAACCTCTGGATGGGAGGCCTACATCTGTCAGCTTGTTGTGGTTCAGTCTCAGGAAGGCCACTTTAGGAATCACGTTGAAATAATTTTCAGGTATTGCTTCAATGGAGTTGTTGTCCAGAAACAGCTGCATGGTGTTAGCTGGTAATCTTGGCGGCATGCTCCTCAGGGCATTCTTGGCCATGTTCAGCTGCATGAGGTTCTTAAGCCCCTTGAAGGTATCTCTTTGAAAAGCATTATCTAAAAGTTTGTTGTGCTGTAGGTCAAGTAGGGTCAGGTTTTCCAGGTTACTGAAGGTTCCCTGAGGAATTCTGGATACCTTATTTCTAGCTAACTGCAATTGTTCCAAACTTCTTGGCAATGGAGAAGGTACCTCCTCTAGCTCATTATCTTCTAGAAACAGAAAAAGAAGCTTCTTTAACTGGCTGAGGGCCCCCTTCTCTATCCCATAGTTGGTTATTTTGTTCTTGTTTAAATTGATCCATCTTAGCTGGGTGGCATTCTCAAATGGTTTCTCAGGTATGGTTTCTATCTGGTTGTTTTCCAGGTACAGGTACCAGATCCTTGAAGGAATAGCTGGGATTTCCCTGAGACCTCTGTTCTCACAGTATAAGGCAGTAGGGAAACTGGGTGGACAGAAACATTCCCTGGGACAATAGAAGTCATCATGCACATCCCAGTCTTCTGGGTCCAGTACCTCATAGGCCTGTCTCACACTCTGTGTCCACACAGTGTCTGCTGTGAGTAACACTCCGAGCATTAAACAGATTGCAGTTGCCATTACAGTACCTGTAGAGTAAGTAACACAAATGTTAGATAGTCCATTGATCTTTAAATACTGACAAGGATCGACCCAGTAAGTGTTGTTTCTTCAAGATAGGGCTCAGAATATCAGCTTCTAAGCCATAACATAGCAATTAATACACATTTATTGGGTGCCAATCACAGGCAAAACACTTTGCAGACATTTAAATACATTCACATTCCCTAAGCTTTCTGGGTTTAACTGAGTCATAGTGAAAGCTGAGAAAAGGAAAGCAAAGTTTAGCAACTTTAAGTGCTTTTCCATTTCAAGCTATTAATTCAAGAAACTCTACTGAAACCAATAGTTGAATATAAGAGAACAAAATGTGACCTAATAAATGAAGTGGTAGCTGCGTGCTGTTCCTAAGAGGTGGCATCTGCATGCGCTTTTACTTTTACCCTTAAATGAGAACAACATCTGGAGGAGATTTCCCAGGTTCTTTGGCCCTCGGACCAAAGAAATGTAGAGATCGAAGGGCAATGTAGAAGTTTATGATGAAGAATGGCTCTAGGATCTGAAGCGAAGTATGTGATGCATCTCGGGTTCTGTTGCTGCTCTATCAGGTAAGCTTTGTTTGCCTTTGGGGAAGAGCGGTGTGACTTTAAGTACAGGATGAGAATCAAGATGTTCAGTCAAGAAGCAGAGTAATAAATTTCTCATATAACCATTTCGTCCTGTGTAGACTATCTCTATTTTGTACAAATGGATATATATGCTATTGCCTGCATATGACAGAGATTATAAAGCACTAACATGTCAGTTATACAATTTTGATATATGTCCACTAACTTATGGCATAATTAATCAGCATAAGAAAAAACTTCTTAGAACATAAGTAAAAAGCCCCCTATATTTATATATCCAGTATAGATGTAACACATACTAATAGGTTCTTATGTATGATACTTTAGAAGGAAGAAACTTTCCTCCATTGAATAGCACCAAGTATGACATTCACAAAGAACTACTGTCAGAGAAAAATATATGCACAGTACGTATTTAAATGTTAGCTTATAACATGTGTCAGATGTACATATGTAAAATTTACATTTCCCTCAATGTGCATTTAGCTAAACCAATTAATAGTAAGTACAAATACATTTCACCGATGCCTAAGGAAACAAACATACAACCACTCATTAATGGAATGCTGGTCTTTCATTCTTTCCATTAAAGTTCAGAATTGCTTCTGCAAGCTGTCAGGCTGTCTCTGACTGCAGAATGCTTCTCTGGACTGCTTCCAACAGAGACAAATTCACTTTTCTTTTCAGAGCAGAGATTCGCATCAGTTACTGAAATTGTAACACCCCATCTTTCGAATCAGAACTCTGAATATCCAAACTAAAAGTTGTAAAAAGTATAAAATAGTTTACCTTGCTTTCCAGGAATAGACCGTGGAGTCCCGAGGCTGGTCTGACACTAGGTAAAATAAGTTGATGGGGGAGGGGGGGTGATAAAAGAAAAAAAGCCAACTTTTTGTTTTGACTTTATGCTGCTAAATCTCTAATGAGAAAAAATGAAACGTATGGTGACTGGTCACCATGCAGACCCCTTGATGTATTGTTTCCACTCTGACAGGCTTCAGGATGGCTTACCTCAGCTTTCTTGGATCTTCTCCTTCTTTTCTATTGGTCACCGCCCCTCACAGGAATGGATTGACCCAATCTTTGCTGTCAGATTTTTAGAGTCTTCTGTAGGATGTATGCAGTGTTGGCTCCAATTTCAACCCCTTCAACAACTGTAGCATCTTCTCACCTATGTAGCTTAGCAGAGGGAGTTTTCTATTTCTTTCTAAGCATGGTTTTCAACAGCCAAGACATTTTTCATTCTTACTTTATAATTTCAGGGACGTTAAAATGTACTGATGTATAGATCTGAACCACTAGACGGCAACTGAGAATTTTAATTGTTACAAAAGCAAAAAGAAATTTTGAAACATTTATTTTTCTTGATGAACTTTTAAAACAATTAAACACAAAAAAGTAAAGGACAATGTATTCTGTTCATGTGGATATATTTTATTCATTCACGAAATAAAACAGATGCTGGAATGTTTTGTTTAAGAGAAACGAAGATTTGAGAAAAATTAAAATTCTCTTTGAGTAGCTGTCATTGATTTACATACTAAATACAGTAATCACCTCTGTTTCACACAATCAGTTATTGTATCTCTACCTCTCCCCTCCTTAATAATGGTTTTAAGTAATTATTAAAGTGAGGTGGCTTTTATTATTACACAGTAACAGATGTTTTACATTCAGTGACTTATAAGGCATACTGCTGCATTAATTTTTTTTCCTTTAACATATGTCTAGACTAAGTTCTTTTTATCATATTCAAAGAAAAAAGTGGTAATTCTATTGAGAGGGATGCAAACAAAATTCTGTTTTATGTCATGCTGTACTGCGGTGACTGCAGTCATTTTAGTTTGAGAGATATGTTGTTGGGAGATGAGGGGCTTTAATGACTATGACCTACCAACACTGTTCACATGAGTTGTATCAAGGACAGAGGATGCTGGTGAACCACAACCTATCTGAACTATGTCTTTCCTATTTCTGTGTCCTTACACAGGTCAATTAGAATTCAGTTTTATTATCTACACAACAATGGACTACCTCACAGGTTTAGACAGGTGAATATAGAAATGCTAGCCTTTCTTTGGAATTTACATTATAAATCTAATTAGAAAAAGGATGCATATGAATGACTATAGCTGAAACAAGAAATATGATTCACACATTTCTTCTTATTCCTACAGGTACACTCAGGACACACTTTTAAAAAACAATCTGTTTTTTGTCGTTGTTTTGTTTGTTTGTTTTACTTTTTTCCTATCAACTTTCTCTTTTCCACTTTATGGTTTTTTCTTTTGTTTGGTTTTGGTTTTTAATTCTCCCTGTTTCCTGTTTCTGTGTTTTATTTTTTCTCAATCTATGGGGCATAGTGAAATATGATGTGCCATTCCACACAGTCCTAATTTTCTTTCTGTAGCCAATGGGATTTAAGTCATTTCTAAATTGTTACCCACGTGTTTCTATATGTTCAGTAGGAAATTCAGAATATTTCACCTACTTCTCCAGTATATTTTCCAACCATCATTCTGCTTATGACCTACACAACAAAATGCGGTTTCTTGTGTTGTCATTTCTCAATTGCACTGATGGAATCAGCAGGGATTTCCTTACATACTAATTTACTGATTCATCTACTTGACCTGGAATAGTGCCAAATTTCCTAGTTAATTAAACGTCCTTCTAACTTGAGGACTTTACGTTCTCCTGGATCTTTTCCCCCTTTCAGTAATTTCCTTGGTCTGCTTCTCGGCGCTATTTCTTTTCAATGCTATGTAAAATGCTAGAGGTGCTTCTAAGCCTTCCAAAGTCCCCAGTTTCTGCCTGATGTCCTGGGACTCCTCCTGATGCCCACCCCATTGCTCCATGCTTCCACTCTTCCAGCCTTCCCTTCTATTGTAATGTCTCTTGAACTGCTGGTTTTGGAACGATGCCAGCACTCCAACATATGTTTGTCTATCTGCCAGACAGAAATGATAACTGGATAATTATTTATCAATATCTATAAATTAAGGCTAATACAATAATTATTTATAATAGTTGAAAAATCCACCCATCAGGTGGAGTTTAAATGACATTTAAACAAATGAACAATTTTTTTTAACAGGTTCAGGATATTATAAATGAACAAATCAATAAAATGGGACCTACTAGGTTTACTGTTCTGATATTTCCAGTAGATGGCTGTATCTTCCGCACTTCAAAATAGTTCCATTGCAAACTGAGGGTAACTTGGCTAATCACAACTATAAAGAACTATTGGTGGTGCACACCTTTAATCCCTGCACTAAGGAGGCAGAGGCGCGCAGATCTCTGTGACAGCCAGGGCAGCCTGGTTTACTGAGCGAGTTCTAGGACAGCCTCCAAAGCTACAGACAAACCCTGTCTCGAAAAAACAAAGTGAAAACAACTACAACATAAAGTCTATGAGAAAAAGAGGTATTACAGGTACTTCATTGTTGCCAGTGACAATTATAGGGATCGACTCTAATAACCTACAGGGATATGTTGTGTCTAAATTAAAGTGTCATTCAGTTGAGTCTCCTATAATGGGCATTTATTTGCATTGGGATTTAAAATTACAGGTGTGAAGTGTATGATATTTAAGTTTTTGCTAAGCATACTAAGTACTGACTAAGACAAAAGTAAAACACGCACAGTTGAAACACTCCTGTGCTATATACATTTGTGGGCAATGCAACCCTGCCACCTGGGCCTGTGGGAATAGTGTCGAAATTCCCCTTGCTCTTCCCACATCCTGCGCTTCATCTTCCTGGCTAGTTGGTTACTTCCTCCATTTATTTATTTATTTATTTATTTATTTATTTATTTATTAATTAATTACACTTTCTGATAGCCTGCATATTTTTAAACCTTTATCCTCTCTGAAGGGCTTACATGGTTTAAAATGTACTTACTGGACCCACCTACCTCCTTGATATTTTGAATGTGTAGAATTCTAATTTGAAGAAACATTTCTGTAAGGTTTTGCCAATTATCTTAGTTAGGATTTTCATTGCTGTGAAGAGACACCATGAGCACAGCAACTCTTATAAAGGAAGCATTTAATTGGTGGGGCTCACTTATGGCAGTGTACAGACAGATACGGTGCTGGAGCTGAGAGGCTCTACATTCTGACTCAGAGGCAACAGGAAGTCAACTGACAATCACACCAAAGAGAGCTTGAGAAGAAGAAACCGCAAAGCCCACCCCCACAGTGACGCACTTCCTCCAATGAGACCATGCCTACTCCAACCAAACTATACTTCCCAATAGTGCCACGCCCTTTGTGGGCCATTTTCTTTCAAACCACAAAGATGTTCCAATATCCATCATCCTGAATTTTAGTAACTTTCGTAGAAATGTATTTAAAATTAGGTTTATTTCTTCAAAATCTTGTCT